CCGTTAAAGATCTCGTCTTCTCATTGGTCGCGGAGGGACGCCGTTATCTCATTGGTCGCGGAACATAACAATAAGCGTTGTTACCGACGCCATCACGGCGGATTAACAGACGCTCGCTCCTCATTGGTCGCGAGGCGCTTCGTCGCTTTTCATTGGCTGCTCCTCAGCTCCTCCGCTCCTCATGTTGTAAAAGTCCCATTTGTATACTACTGAAGTAGAAACATCAAACTCAATCAGAAGAAGATTGTCTACAAGACTGACGCTGTGCAATTCATTGGTCACATGTTAACGAAAGACGGCTTAAAGCCAGACCAATCAAAAGTAGATGCGATCACAAACATTGAAAGACCTCAAGACGTCGAAGCCGTTAGAAGACTTATCGGCATGGTCAAGTATTTATCTGAAAATAAAATAAATATAAACAGAAAATAAAATAATAATGCACTTTTATACAGTATATCATGTAAAAGGTCTATTAATTGTAGTCGCTAAAATCATTGTATATTTAAATTAGTTTAAAAGTATATCCATGTTTTTGAGTTTTCGTTCATTCTTGTAGCCAATTATAGTAGTTTTAACGCTACAAAGAGACTTAAGTATATTTTATTGATACAATTTTAATTAGAAATTGATAATTTTGTACTTTTTTGTGTGTGTGCAGGTACTCGACTACTTAAAGTCAAGAAATGTGCAAATAGAAGTAATTGAAAGATTTAAGGCTGAAAAGTTATTTATGTCATTTTAAAAAGAATTCGGAAAAGAATTTTAGATGCGTACATTTTTTGACATATTTAGGTGCTCGTGTGAATTATCCTTCTTATAGATGGATGCAGATGCAATCACTGCATCAAACGAGGAGAGTCTCCAACAGCTGGGGCTTCAGGCAAAAGGTGATATTTTTGCAGTAAAAGCATGGGCACAGCGTCAAATTGGAAAGCCTGAAAATAGTTATTCAACTGACTATGACGATAAAAAGAAGAAGTTATTGGACATATTAAAGAAAGGCAAGTCAAAAAGGATGGTCAGTCCAGAAACAAAGCCTGAAAAGCAAATAAAGAATCAAGCAAAGAAGAGGAGAGTAATTCTAGGATGGATGAATTATRACAGCAAGAAAAACAGTGACGTGTCTGTTCGTCTTACAAATGGCGGAGGGCCAAGAAAAGTAGATTTGGACGCAAACTCTACGACAAAAGCCATCATCGATGAAGCGAAATAACTGTTTTTTCCTCTCGGTGTATCATCAGCTGGAGAAGCAACYGAAATGTCATTTGGGCTTGCAAATTTCAAATCTGAGCCAATTGATGATTACATTCAGCAAGAAGAACCATTTACCTTACAGGCCTACATAGAATTCCACAGGCTTACTCAAGTCAGACTCTATTTGACATCTAGAAAAAAAACCTGTTGTAAAGGACGACAGCGATGACGATGACCTAYAGATTTTGAACGATGCGCCTGGTCCATCAGATATAAAAGACGGATCCTGGCGCATGAAATATGCCGGCTGTCAACAAGATGATGACACAGATGTTGATCTTCACACACCAAGCTTTGCATCTTCTCCCCCAGGAACACAAAAATCTAGTTAGATTGGCTCATCTCAAGAACGTAAAGACTTGATTGAAGACCAGGATGAAGAGTACAAAAAATCTCTAGAAGAAGATCAGAAGAAGAAGATACAGGCAGAGCAGCAGTCACTTGAAGATAAAAGGCTAGAAGATAAAAGGCTTGCAAGGATGTCCCGAGTACCACCCCAACCTGAAGAAGGAACTCCACGTGTGAGAGTTGCAGTTCATCACCTAACCAAGGGCAAACTTWTCCGTTTCTTTTCACCTGGTGAGTTAATGATGGCCGTGTACGATTGGGTAGGCTCACAAGATCAAGAACCGAAAACGTTTCGACTGTTCTCATACCCATTTAAGGAAGTTAGACCAACTGATGGTGTGTATGATTGTACACTATATATGGAAGTGTCACAAGATCCTGTGTTGATAGATGATGATGGGGAAGTGACAAAGGCTTTGGTACACCTGATGGTGCTGGTTCGGAAAGTGATTATGATACTGAGTTGAAAGGAAGSTAAGAAAAGTTTGAGCCAAATTCAACCTACATGGCCATTATTTCTAGAAATATTCAGGGAATTTAAAAGCATTCTAAACTCTTTTTGTCCAGCTTATTCTTGATTGTTCTAATAGAGTGCACGCAACATAAGTGTGAAACAATTCCAAATTAGTGCCTAATACGATTTAGATAACTAAGAATTCAATGAGGCATAAGCAAAGAACATTTTCTTTCTGGCATTGTGTTCGTGCCCCATTGAATTCTTAGGTAGCTGATAACTAAAGGAAATTGTTTCACGGTTTTTTGGCGTGCACTCTCTGAGGACTAACTTGTTACAGTAAACATTTCCTTCCCTTTTTTATGTAGTGATGACCTTGGAAATTGCGATTTGCAGTATAAAAAGAATGTGGCTTTCTGCTCTTTGGATGATACTACATAGAAATACTAGTTTCAAGAGATGATATTACCAGGAATCTCCTTAATGTCTATAAGGACGACTCTAACCTCTGCAGCAAAAGTGCTCACTTTATTCTAAATGGTGAATCAGGAGAAGGTGATGGAAGCCAGCGTGAAGTATATTCACTGTTTTGGGACAATATACTTTCAGATAGTGAAGGATGCACTGAGTATACGGTCCCTTTTTCCTCGATGTACAGTCCAGAAGATTACATCGCCATTGGAAAGATAATCACACACCAATTTGTTTTAACTGGAACCTTCCCCGTACGTCTAGCAGAAGCGTCCATCCAGGATCTCTTATTTGACAAGGTCAGCGACACCTGCCTGATTAATTCCTTCTTGAAAATTCTGCAACCGAAAGAACGTGAATGCATGGCTKATGCTTTAGCAGGCCGCTCGTTTGACGCCAATACTATCATGGGAGACTACAACCCTCGTGCTATGCCAAATTCTGCAAACATCAAGTCCCTTGTTCTATCGGCAGCAAGAGATGAATTCACGCGAAAGCCTGTCTTCTGTTTGACGAAAATACGCGAAGGCATGGGTAGCTTTTGGAATGAAGTTACAAGTGCAGATATTTCGTCTCTTTACGAGCTCTGTAAACCAACAGCATCTAAAGTTATTTCCTTACTTCGAACTCACGACTCGTCTGATTCAAAGGAAGCACAAGTATTCAGTTGGCTGGAAAGATACTTGAGATCAGCTTATGACAGCATCGCTGTAAAGTTTGTACGTTTTTGTACTGCCACTGATGTATTGGATCTCGCCAAGCCAATTCTTGTTCAGACAGAGCTGATGCCACCCGCCGCAATAAGGCCAAGAGCGCGTACATGCTTCCACGCACTCATCCTTGCAAAGAACTGCGCATCGTATAAGCACTTTCGCACCAATCTCGAGATGTACTTGAATGACACTGATAGTTGGATCATAAAAGTTAGTTGGATCATGAAATTCTTCTAGACTTCCAATTTATATTTGTATCGTCTCATTTTATGATACTCAGTTTATATTACAAAAAGTTCTCATTTTTTTATGAATAGAAACTACAATAATCGGCAGTCCTTAGAGACATGATTTAAATGATTGAGTTGGATGAAATCATCAAGGCCGTTGATTCCTATTTGTTAAACGTGTTTTTATTTTAAGAGACATGACGATAATGATGATTGAGTAGGATAAAATCACCAAGGCTTAATTCCCTTTGTTAAAGTTGTTTATCTCTGAAACTGTTTAATAGTTATTAGAGGAACATGATTTGTTTCAATGCTCGCGTTAAGCACTTTTTTGTCATGTGGTATTTTGTTACCATGAATTCAAAAAGGTTTATAAGAAGTAATAAAATGTTTTGTTTTCTGTGCATTGCTTCTTTATTGTCATGACGAATAGAAGGGAGAGTAGAGAAAAGGGATTTGTGTGTAACCGACTTATCACTTTTTCATTCCTTTAACTGTTTTCCTTTCTTGAATGTTTACAATATCTGGTATATGAAATTTWAAAAAAACAACAACAATTTATTAAGACCACTCTAAATCAGCCATCGCAGTTAATGACCGACCCCCTTTTTTCTAATAAAACGTGATCGTAAGTGGTCGGATATAGGGGAGGGGTCTGGGGATGGTGGTGCCCCCCATTTGGGAAAAAAATGCGATTAATTCTTTGAAGCTGCCATTTACAAGACACCAGATCTGTAAGTTGTCCACCTTTCAAAATGTTACAGGCTGGTGTGCTCCACCCTTGAGAAATTTCTGGATCCGCCAGCATCTTTCTAATGACCTGAATAATGGAATAAGCAGTTCAAATTGTCGGGAGCTTTACTGTCGATAATATTATCCATCATAACGCAAACCTGCTCAACAACATGAAATTGATGGGAAGTGAGTGTGTTTGTAGGAAAAAGTGCACAGTGTGCTCTCGCGGGTTTTAGAAGTTGATCAATCGTAGCGCAAGCTTTTGTACAAGTACTCTTTTAAGGTGTGTTTTAGCAAACTCCGAATAACATGCGGTGACAACCCCTTCAAGAGGTCGAGTGGTACAAAATGCCGCAGTTTAGCAATGATACCAATCGATTTACTGATTTTTTTTGCGCAACATGTTCTATGTGATAATCTCCATGATAGTTGCGAGACTATAGTACCTCAAGTTATGGTATTGTATCTAAGGCCCGCGCTATACGCCGAACTTCACATGTACTGAATACAATTTACGAATTAAATGCATGTGAGATGCGGYGAATGAAGAAGAGAAGGGAAATAATGAACATAAAACGGGAGTATATATGGGAATGGGAAGGAGGGAAGGGGAATATAAGGGATAAATAGATGG